TCAGTACTTCTTTATGCGCTCCATTCAGAACTTCTTTATGCGCTCTAGCACGTCATTATTTGCTCGTTCTAGCACTTCATCCGTCGCTTTCCTTCTCTCTTTGCAATATGTTTTTTCTTAATCTTACATACTCGGATCATTTTACACGGTTTTGTATTTATGAATATTACTAGGTAATTTGAACAATATTTTAATGTTCATGCATTAGTCTGATTTACTTATTATATTCATTTTATTTTTAGGGCTGTTTTTAAATTCGACGGAAGCAGAATTGTGTGCGCTGCTACTGGAAAAGAATTCGAAAACTTTCGTTCGCTATTTGGGGATGATGATCGTGCGTTCGGTTATATAAGAGTTCAGACTGGTGATGAAATGAGCAAGAGACAGAAGTTTCTGTTCCTCACATGGGTTGGACCTGGAGTAGGTGTAATCAAACGTGCCAAAATGAGCACTGATAAAGCGGTAGTAAAAAACATTGTGGTGGTAAGTATTCTTGTGAAAGTTGTTGTACTCCAAAAATACCTTGATATTCAATATGAATGAAATTGTACTTCTTCAAATCGTTTCAGAACTTTGCTGTAGAACTCCAGTTGGAAACTAAAAATGATTTTGATATGCAATACTTCAAAGACCAGTTAGCAAGAGCTGGTGGAGCTAATTATGGAACGGGGGAGCGGGATATGTGAAAAAGTCGGATGTAAAATATATCGAATAACGAACGTATGCTTTCGCCTCGTAACGAAGTGCTTGATAGTATTTTACCTTTTCTGTATTTGAAAGTTCCTAGGAATCAAAATTTACTTAATAACCTTTATATATTTACCTAAAATGTGATATCTTTGATTTATTTTCATGAATAAATAAAATTTGTAATTAAAAAATACATTTTAACTAATAAATGTCCTCCGTGAATCAATTTCCCAAAATTTTTAAATATAACAATAATGTGTGCCAATGGATGATGATGTTTGACTGACGCATGGTAAACAAAGTGGCAGGGCATTGGCCTCGGGCATGGAAAAAACTGCTTTTACACTCACGAGAATAATGAACTCCATGCGGTCGTTGCGCTTTATATTTTGGAGAGTATCATTTTGTGTTATGCGTGATATCATTCGTACACGTTAACTCATAAGATCGACCACTTTCACTTGTATTGTGCACTCTGTACCAGCAATAAATGCAACCTTATCGTGTAGTATGTTCTTTCTATAGACCACGGTGGAGAACCCCCCCTCCCCCCCCACAAAAAAACAATCCTTTAAAATGGAAGTAAACTCTTTGTTCTTCAAGATGGTAAGAAAAACGATTACTATTACAGCACATATCTCTCATTCTTTGTAAATGTTAGCATTATTTCCAGCACATCAAACCGGCAAGCAAGGATATTTTCACTTATAAATTGAAGATCCAGAACTAATAGCCATCCATTATATGGCATTATGAATGCATTGAAAACGACGATATTACGTTATGCATATTTATATTCTTCCCAACTTTAATAAACTTGGATATACCGTTTTACATTTAGAACATAATATCACTATATTCAAGTGAATAAAACCCCTTAATCTTATCTTTCCCATTATGTCGCAGTTCCACAATGAACTCAAATATCCATCGCTACAATGTTGCCCAATGCAACACACGGTGGTAATATAAAATTATTGTACAAAATTATGGTGCCCAATTTTTTGAATTATCCTTTCATATAACATTTAAATAATTTTTAAGAGAGAAATCCTAATTGTGCTAATTTCAATCGGTATCAACGACCTACAAAACATGGATTCTGACCACATAACGTGTTAGAGGAAGTCATTTATTGTATAGGGACAAGATTTATCCACTTTTTCATTACCAGGGCCGAGCAAAATGATTTTCTATCGAAAACGCACTGTTTTTTCCCTAAAGCATTACTGCGCAAGCAGGAGCCAGAAAGTAAAATTAGCCTTACTGGCGTACGTTTTTTAATAAAAGAAGTTTAAATTAATACAGGCAATGGAAAGTTACACGGAATGTGTATGTACCTGTTGACGCAAGGACATAGAGATCGCAGACTTCGCTATCTATTCAAAATGACAGAAACGCAACGCGTTCCAGCACTCAACCGCCTTCCGAGGCCAGTCATTTGATGTCACCATATGCAGGTCATAACCCATCAACGCTGTAGGGTACAGAGTAAGAAAAGACAGTCCTTCCGACTCTGAGAAAAAGTCGAGATTGGCCTTATTACCCAAAAAGGAGGACCCCTCCCCTCCCACCCTGTTAGCTTTGGTTTAGTGGAAATGACCCCATACTTAACTTTTTTTTCGGTTGGAGACAGTCTCATTAAAAAGCTGAGAGCTATTGTCTGATGCGCTACATCTTTAAGAAACGAAAACATGGCTCTTTTCATAGATTTTTGTCTATGAAATTGTTGTTTTTTTCGTAGAAACGCGTCGTGTTTACTGAGAGATGTTTCCATTCGTACTTCAAAAAAATTAGTACATTTGTGAAAAAACTGAGAAAAGGTAATTGGCAGATAATTTTTAATTTCATTTTGGTTGCCTTTTTAACGAGTGGGTTAATCTTAGCTGTTTAGAAAATATTTGGACAAGTTCCGGTGCATAAGGACGTTTGAAATATGTGAGTTAACGGATGTATAAAAGCAGACGCACAGTCTTTATCAAACAATACGGAAATTTATCTCCACTGTTTCAATACTTATTTTTTAGTTTATCGATTTTGAGAATTTCATAGGAAGAAGATTCGAAAATGAACATGTCAAAAATTTTTGGGGCAACGTGTGATGTTGAATTTTGTGGTAGAAGATTCTTAGTAAGATCGACAGCAATTCTCAAAAAAATATTGGTTCAAGAGACTAGCCACTGTTGCCGGATCGTTTACATCTCTACAGCTATCTTTTAAAACAACATTCTCTACAATGTTTCTAGATTATGTGGTCGTATTTTTATTTATTGTTAATTTTAGAGTTGGAAATCATGATATAAGTTGTGTAGTAGAGTTGGAGTAAAATTGAATCAGTTTGTTTTTACATGATCTCGAACTCCCTTGTTATATATGAGAATTGCTTTTCTGTAAAATGTTTTATATTCAGAGTGTGTATTTGGTCTTTGGTCGAGCGATCCCGTTGGTCGACTGAGTCAACTACTCGCCGTTTTCTGTTCCAATAATCTAATCGCTCTATGTTGTATAACTGAAACTTTGAGTATCTTTTAACTGAATTATTAACTTTCTCTACTAGACGTTACAAGAGCGTAGAAATATTGTATTTGTACGTAAGCCTTAGAATGATCCTGAGACAAACAAATACACGTACCTAATACAGCTTCTTATTGGTTGCTTGGATTTGCGTGTAGGGATCGCTCCTGCAAATAGATCTTGTTGGAATTATATATTTCCTTGTGTAAGTGCAAGTTTGAAAATACAAGATGGGAATTTTAAAAAGAAGAACGATTACTCTGAATTGAGCCACTGTTCTGAAATACGCCTACGAAGGCGTCGAGTAATGGCGGCGAAGAAACCGTCGTCCGGTGCTGGCAGTTTTATCGGCGGTTGTCTCGTACCAAAAGTTTCAAATGCAGCGTTCGTTGTACTCCGTGAGCAACAGAGCAGTAGTCACTTTTTTGACTAGTGCGACAAGATCATCGTAGCATCTGTTAATTATTTTAAATTTTGTGCGTACCTTATACAATATAATAGAATATTTATTTTGCTACTTAGGAATACATGGAATATTTCCGGTGGTAGAGTTTTCTAAGTAATTATTACAAATACACAACACAAACAATCAAAGGAACATTATAATGTAACATTTCTCCGCGGTGAATTAAATACACACTCAGGTAATTATTTAACAAAGATGTTACACTAAAATACTTGATCTATTTACAGATATATTACACAGTCCTTGTGTTCTTCACTTGATTATTTTCATTTCACACGACTCCGTTCTCTTGATTATTTATTCACACAGTTCACTTTTTCTTGGAATTTATTTACACTGTTCACTGCAATCTGATTATTTATTTACACTGTTCACATCGCACAGTCCGATGCACTGTCCACAGTCCACTGCGCAAACTACAATTCACTGCACAGACCAGGGTCCACTGCACTGCTGTTGACCGCGATGCACACTTCACTCAGCTTCCACTGCAAACTTCAAACTGCTGTTCCCCTACTGCACCACTGTTCTCCGCAATGCACAATTCACAGAGCAATGCACGCTTCTACTTCAGACAGACTACTGCATACTCACAGTGACGGACTGACTGCTTACTACTTCTACTACTTACTGACCAGGGCCGGTTCACTCAATGTTAAAAGGCGGGGTGGGGGTTGTTTCCTCAGTCACGGGCCTGATGCAGGTAGCGTAGCTGTTGCGTTTTGGCGCGCATGTTGGCGCGCATTTTCAAAGTAAGGTTGTGCGAATTGTGGTGCGTGTAGGGAATGTCCAAGAGTTCTGCTTTTCTTATGATTCAGATTAACTTGATTTAAATAATATATTTAAGCATTGTATTAGATGTGTTTACTTAAAACCAAAATTGTAAAGTAATTTCTTTATCCTTAATTACTTTAAAAGCAGAAAAAAGTGAAAACATCATTTCCTTATTATTTGTTTTAGTTGTTGTTTTTCACAAAGATACTATACATTTGAGGGGTCTGGTGCAATATCGACCTAACCCACAAAATCTTTAAATTTGCGTACTTATAGTTTCATCACTTCCCATGTGTTCACATTATCGAATAAGCTTGTGACAACACCTGTTAGCATGGTTCAGAAAAAAGGCATTCTTTGTCCAAAAAAATGTTACCTTCTTTTCTGTAATATTACCTGAATCAAAAAACCTCTTATTGTTGAAAATACCTGATTTCATAAAAAAAAATTACAACAGTATTAGACAGTTTTTGAAATATTAAATTCTATTTAATAGTTGTACTGTTCCTTCCCACTTAAATGGTATTTAATCGATATACACAAGGAAAAAGTTTAATATTATTAAAATTAGTAAGATTAAATACAGTTTTTATTAGCTTTAACAATATTAATTTTATTCTTATGGAAGTATGAATAAAATTCCATTTTTATTATTGCTTATCTTCTCTAAGATGTTATACTTTGTCTGGCATTAGCAAACATTTTACTCCAAATCTAGAATTACAAATATGCGTGAAGATTTATCGTGTTTTTCATGAAACTAGCTTGGTGTGTATTGTTCCTAAATTTGCTTTTATCTACAGACAATGAAATGCTGGATAAAAACTATTACATCATCTTAGTCCGTTTGTAAATAACTACTACAAATTGTTTATTGTTTATTTCATTAGCATGCTCATTTCAATATATATTACAATATATTTTTTTCTCAAAATTATTCAATTTTGTGAAAAAGATTATAAGAAATATGATATTCTTTGTATAAGCTATGTAATTGATTTAAGTCTTCATCTCTATTACTTAATATTTATTATTTGTAATATTTGAAAAAAAATTAAATCATTGATTAAAAATTATAATTTGGTTTATATACGATTGAAATCATACCAGCCTTAATTTTTGGTGACATTTTTTAGCCAAAAATAGAATTATAATTTTGATATGATATCAATCATTGGTACCGTGACTATTTTGGGCAAGTCTTTGAAAACCCAGGAAAATGAAACAAATTTATAAATTATACTATTTTTATTTTTGGCAAGTTGATTTGTCTTGTAGTTAGTAATAACATACCATGCTTAAAGTTCTGGGATTAAAGAGGGAATTTGCATTGTTTACAAGAAACAATTTTAGTCACCAAAAGTCAGAAACCAAATTAAAATGAATACGCTATACACTTGTGTTACGAACAAGAAGCAAACATGTCACTCATTGAGTTCATGTCTTCTCAGAACAAGAAACATTCTATATCTGATGAAGTGATATTTGATATGGTCGAACGCGCACCATTGAAGTTGCCGCCGGAAAGTGGTTCCGGCGCCGCCCAAGAGAGGGCGCCGATTACCAACGCGGTAGCTCCGTCACGCTCGGCCAGGCCCCGGAACCACAGAACTCACCCTTATCGCGCAGCTGGCCGGCGGACCTTTCAGCCCTAGCGGACTATAAAAGCGGTGCCCGGCGAAGTGGCGGGCAGAGTGTGTGAAGTGCCGGCCTGGAGTGAGTTATAGTGTCTAGTGAAACGTGTTGCGGAACAG